ACCAGCTTCTTTGAAATCATTCTTCTGTCTTTAATTCCTCTTTCCCAGTAGATGGGTGAGCCCTGGAGTTGGTCATGATTTCTTGTTCTCAGTCATTCACTTTTTTGTATAGGTTTTTAAAAATAGCTTTGAGTTAGGAAATGTGGAAGCATATTTAAAAAATAGTAAAGTAAAAATACCTTATAGTTTCACTCATATGTGGAATTTAAGAAGCAAAACAAATGAACAAAGAAAAAAAAGAGAGAAACCAAAAAGCAGACTCTTAACTTTAGAGAACAAACGGATGATTACCAGAGGGGGGTGGAGTGGATGGGCGAAGCAGGTAAGGGGATTAAGAGTACACTTACCATGATGAGCACTGAGTAATGTGTAGAACTGGTGAATCACTATATTGTACGCCTGAAACTAGTATAACACTATATGTTTACTGGAATTAAAATGTTTAAAAATAGTAAAGTAAAAAAAAAGTAAAGTAAAAAGTCTTCATTTATCTACGTACTTAACAAATAACTAACACTGTTAGGTACAAAGTAGGAGGAGATAAGAATTCCATCCAAGTCCTTTGAGGTTTCAAGGTCCAAAACTAGGGATCCGGGGGCGAGGGGAAAATTAGGAATCTGGACTGAGGCGGGGGAGGAAAGAGGCTAACATTGGGGCTGGAGAGAGAACAGGGTGAAGCCAACATAACTTCATGGGCCAGAGTCTGGCCTGGCTCCACGCCAGGTGTGCTTCAGGATCACGGGTCTGAGGGCAGCTCTGCACTGGGGCATCCTTTTGTTTACCTGAGATGGCAATATATTTTTCATTTTAGAGGAGCTCCTAGATAAAAAAAAAATTTTTTTTAATCTTCCATGGGACCTTCCTGAAGACTTGTCTTTTCTCCAGAAAAGCTTCAGGTATACAGAACTATGGTATTTTTGTCGGGGACGGTTTTTTCAACCAGACTAAAGGCCTGTTGATATTATGTTTGTAGCAGCCAGTTCCTAAATCCTCAACAAGCACATTCTGTGCCCAGGACTCTAATGGCTCTTGTAAACACCCTAAACGCTTTCCATCTCTGGCAGTTATGAGAATGTTTGTTAATATATCTTCTGCACATGTCTGAGTATGTCAACTGTTTCATAGTATATGTTAAATAAAAGACCCAGTCCCTGTGCTCAGTGATGTCACACATTAGTTGTATACAGTATATATAACAATCTAAGTGACCATTTGAGTTTGTAGGAATTTAAAAAGGAGTAAGAGAATTATGGGTAGAACACTTGGGGATTTTTCTTAAAAGAAGTGGAAATGGGGTTGGGGCTTGAAAGATGGATAATGTTTGGATAGGAAGCAGAATTAAAGACCCAGAGGTAGAAAAGAACTTGCTAGATGCAAAAGTTAGTGAGGAAACTGGCCAACTAAGAGGGTGCCGTCCCCATAGTCTACAGAACTGGGCAGGCACAACTGTTATCTGGTGGCCCCAGTGGAAAAGTAGGGAATGATTAGAAAGGTTGAAATGCTGGACTGAGAGTTTGGCCTTCATCCTGTGAGAAGTGGGGAGCTGTAGAGATGGTTTTGAGAAAAAAAGAAATGATAGCTAAGTGGCTGAACATACAGGCTTTGGAGCTAGATAAAAATTAGTTTGGTTTATACGTATATTACTGTTATACTAGCTATATGATTTGGGGAAGTTACTTAAGTTCATTAAGCCTTGTTTTTCTTAGCTGTACAATGGGTATACTACAATTTTCCTTATAGAATTGTGTGAAGATTAATTGAGATAATATATGCAGTGCTTGGCACCTGGTAAGTGATCAGTAAATCATATTCAGTGTTTCAGAAACTTACTTATTTTCATATAGTCCCAAAGGGGCTGAGATTTTTTTTTTAATACTTTTTTTTTTTTTTTAAAGGAATCTCTATACCCAACATAAGTTTGAACTCACAACCCTGAGATCAAGAGTCACATGCTCTACTAACTGAGCCAGCCAGGCACCCTGGGCTCAGATATTTTAAATGTCATTGGTCAATAGGATGAATTGGGGGAAGAGAGATTGGTAGACAGACCAGATGATTTTGTTTTTAAGTGGTTTTTAACTTTGTAAAACCAGTTAGTTGACAGTGACGTTGGTATGAAGTAATAAAGGCTTAAGCTATGGTTTTTGAAATAGAGGATAGAAGTTGGAAAAACAAACCTCTATTTCATCATATCTATGACATCAGCAGTTATAAGATGCACCATTATTTATTTACCATGAAGAAAGAAAAAACATTGACAAACTCTGGCACAGTGCTTATCACTTAGAATTTTTATTTTATGTTTATTGAAAGAACTTTTTCAAGCTTATTTAGACATAGATTTTAATCACATTGCATTTTTATATAATACATAAAAAGGAAAATGAAAGTGAAATAAATTGATACTCCTAAAATGTCCTCACTTTCACAGCTCAGTGCTTCTGAATGACTTCTTGTTTCAAAGACATCATTGGCTGTGACATTTCATGTGATATTGTCCTCGGTGCCATCAAGAGCATATGGGTGGTGCTGCATGTCTTTAGAAAGTGCTCTGAAAAAAAAAAGAAAAGAAAAAGAAAGTGCTCTGCTGTTGTCTCCAAGCTGCAACAAGTTTGATGCTGGGGCTTCTTGATCTTACCAGAAATATCACTGGGGAGATTATCCAACTATAACCAAGACTCACATTCTTTCTCAAATGTTGCTCAATGGTTTGTTGATTGAAAAGGCAAGGGATTGTATTGCTCCCAGGGATAACAGCCATGTTCATATGTGCAGGAAGTGACAACTGTGCCCCAGGTTGCCTCATCCACAGCAGTTTTAAGATGTATCCCAATTTCAGGGATACCTGGGCGGCTCAGTTGATTAAGCGTCCGACTAGGGCTTAGTTCATGATCTCGTGGTTCATGGGTTCAAGCCCCATGTGAGGCTCTGTGTTGACAGCTCAGAGCCTAGAGCCTGCTTCAGATTCTGTCTCCCCCTTTCTGCCCCTTGCCTGCTCACACTCTGTCTATCTCAACAATTTTAAAAAAGAGGTATCCCAATTTCAGAGGACATTTAAATATGAAAAAATACGCATTTCAGAGGTGATAGAATTAAAGCACTAGCTTGATAATTCTGGGAAACTTTACTGAGCAACCTTAAAAATACTGTGGTCACAGCTGAAGTTTTGTTGTAAATTACTTGGAGGAATGCTCTACCAACAATTTTTTTTTTTTTTTTTTTTGATACTCAAGATATTTTTAAGGAGTTATATGGCACTGATAAGTTTAGCAAAATGCCTGGTTATAAATTCCTAGAATTTTACTGACCCATAAAAATGACAAAAATTGTTTGAAACTAGCTAATAATGTAATAGTAATAATCTAATGATTTCCTGTCTTTGAATGCCAGGTATTGCCAGCACAGTGAAATTTATTTTTATAAATAAATATATTTATATATATCCTTACTATGGACCTGCATACTAATATAATGATTTAACCTAATACATTAAAGTTCAAAGACCAGAACTTAGGCTAATAAGATTGAGTTTTTCTGTGGGCTGGTAGTGTAAATGCTCTACATCAGATACAGAAACCTAGAAAGCAGAACATATAAATCCTTAAGTGGTCATGGCAACACCAGCTGCTTTTGTTATAATAAATACGTGTTGGCAATGATTTTTCAAGCTTTCTTTTTTTGTTAGAAACCAGGATAAAACTGAATCTCTAGGATGATAACGATTCTACGCCTTTATACAATTTTTCTGTCATCCCCTTCATTGTTGACCTATTTGGAAGGTTCTGTAACTGCCAAAGTTGTACTTCATAGCCAATGATGATTTTTAGTTTTCCACAGGCTTGAGGTGGAGTATGAGAATCTTTCTTTTTTTTAGCCCTCATAATGAGATACTTACAAGAAAACTTGTCCTGATTGAGAGTCCAGTCTGGAGTAGAAAACCCAGGACTCAAACATTATCCTAATTTCTGGGATACCTCATTTTCTCTTCCCTTATTTCCTAAGATAATGGCGTGAGCCCTGAAAACAAGTTAATTTCCTGCCTCACCTTGTCACATTTCCAAAATTCCCTGGCTTTCGTGTTATCCACGAAGGTGTCCTTATCTCCCCCCCCCTCGCCCGGTGTCCTTGTAAGTGAATGCACCCGTTATTGGTGGTTGTGGGGTCCTGTGTCTGCCTACTATTTGTGCCCATCATGGAAGAATGTGTGTATGTACAAATGTGCTGCTGTTAAGTTCTCTGTCTTTGGAGAGACCTTTCACTGGTAGCAGAAGGAAAGGAGTCAGAACAATGACATCTGGTTCAGACCCACATGTCTGAGCTACAGAGACACCGTGGATTTGAAGTTGACCTCTGTCACCAGGGACTACCAGAAACGAGGAAGGCATGACCTGCAGGGCTCTCTTTTGGCCCTGAGCCTTATAGTGACAGTGGCACCTTTGACATACAACTACAGTATATGCTTCTTGTTTTTATCTCAGACACTTTCAGCCCAGCCTCTCAAGCACTGAATCACCTGTTGCGTAGTCTGGCCTTGCAGAAAGGTAGCAGCAGTTTCAGATAGGTTGCTTAGAGTTTTAGAGATGCAAGTCCTTGATGATCTTGGAAGTGATTTTGGTGATGAACTGCCACAGCTAGGTTTTATCAGAGGGCCTGGGCAACACAGAATAAAGAATTCCATTCCTATTAGATCTGCAACAGGTGATGGTGCCAGTGTTGGTGGAGAAAACGTGATTTTAACTGAGAAGCAGTGTTTCTGTAAAACTTCCCACTGGCTCCTTTCTGCTGTTATTACCTGTAGTTTCATCATCTTTTCACTGAACTCTGTACGGTGTGATGTCTTTGGGGCCATCGGGTATTTTTATCTGCTAGTTGTAGAAGTGTTTGTGCTTAGGACTCTGCTGTGGTTGAGGGGGGCGGCCCTACCCACCTTCCGGTTGCTTGGCACCAACCCTCCCTGGCTGTCGGGCATCTTGTTTATTTCTGCCCTTAATTCCCTGCAGGTGCGTAAGTACAAGAGCATGATCCTGGAAGACCTGGAGTCTGCCCTGGCGGAACACGCCCCTGCACCACAGGAGGTTAACTCGGAGCTGCCCCCTCTCACCATCGACGGAATTCCAGTCTCTGTGGACAAAATGACCCAGGTAAGGGGCGGGCCGTGAGGAGGAGACAGAAAAGCGAGTGGCCCAGGTGTGGGCGGGCCTCAGATCTCATTTCTCAGTTTTGTGCTCGGTGACACCAGCAGAGAGAGACGCAGGCTGGAGTCTGACAGTGAGGCGGTGACAGCCTTGGGGAAGAGAATGTAGTGTTGGAAGAATGCTCCCACCCAGAGAGCATGGACGTGGTCTCCTCCTTGGTTGACAGCTCTTTTCTTTCACTTGGGCCATTAGATTAAAGAAACTTGGCTTGGAGTTGGTTTGGACAGGTGACTGTTAGGACTTTGATGAATCACCATCAAGCAGGCAGATAAACTGTTATTCTTTGGGGCTGAGCTGCTCCTCTTTCCATGTAAATCTGAATACCGCCATGCTGTCACCAAGGCTCCCCTCTCTGGGGAATAAGTATGGAAAACTCAGAAGGACGCCCTCCTGAGTCATTGTTCTCTCCTCTTTCTTTGACAAGGGAAGTCAAAATGGACTTGGCCTGATAAATCAGCATACCTCAGGAATTTTGCTGAGATGGTCTGTTTTACATATCTTAGCTTTGAAAGTGATAGCTTGATCAAGATCAAATGCCCTTTTGTGACATTTTCCCACCGTATTTCTTTATTAATATACTCCTCTCTTGCTAAATCCAGTTGTGAGTTTTCTTTCCTTATCTTATTCAGTGTCTTCCAGCAACATTTAACACAGTTGATTATTCCTTCCTTCTTAAAATGTTCTCTGTTTCTGACCCCATACTCTCCTGAATACCCTCCTACCTCACGGTGCTCCCGCTCAGCTCTTCTGCTGACTCTTCTTCCTGTTCTCACCTGATCGATATTGGCATGTCCGTATCTTTAGTTTCTTTCCAGGTGGTCTCATCCTGTCCTGTGGGCTTTATGTCTCCTCTATATGCTGTTTATAGCCCAGCTTATACCCCTGTTTGATCTCCAGTGCCCAGTGTGCCCCAGACAGGACCTTTCATCGCCCAACCCTCAGTTCCCCCTATCACTGCCCCCCCCCCCCCGACCCCATCAGTTAACAGCACCACCATCTGTCTGGTTGCTCAAGTGCTGGCATAGGAGCAACCCTTCGTTTCCCTGTTTTGCCCTTGCTTGCAACGTGATTCATTAGCAAGTCATGTCAGTTCAGCTCTGAGATGTCCCCTAAACCTGCCTGTTCTTCTTAGTTGCCATTACCACCCTCACCCAAACCGAGTATCTCTCCCATGGAGACTATTTCAGCTCATCAGTTCTGTCGCTCTCCTGGTTGCTGTTCCTGCTCGGCTGCCGTCTGTACTTCACAGAGCCACCAGAGATTTTTTTGAAAACTTAAATCGGCTCTCATCACTCTCTTGTTTAAGCTCCTTAATGGCTTCCCACTATTCCTAGAATCAAATTCAGACTCTGCTGTGGCCTCTGAGGCCCTGTATAATCTGAGAATCCAGCCTCTTCCAACTTCATTCTTCATTTTCCCTCTCAGTCACTGTGCTCTGGCCACACTGGCCTTTTTTTCTCAAACGCTCCAGGCCAGTCTTTCACTTCTGCTGTTTCCTCTGCCTGAAACACTGTTTTCCCACATCATTGCCTGCTTAACCTTACCTTATTCAAAGTCTGGCTCAGACATCACCTCCTGAAACAAGCCTTTCTTGATTATGCCATCTAATGGAGCTTTCTCTTTGCTACCAAGTCACTTCCTAATGCATCCCATATTTTATGTCTTTATAACACTGATTACCCTGGAGCTATCTTATTCGTCAGCATTTATATTTGTCTGCAGTCCGTCTTTCCAGCTAGAATTTCAGAGCCGGGATTTACTTTCTATCCTTTACTGCTGTCCACTGCAGCTCGCAGCACCTAGATAACATCTAAATTCTAAATAATAGTATTTGTTCAGTAAATGACCTAAGGGTCAGAGTAAAACGAATCCCATGTGGTAGGTACCCGGATTGCAAGTCTTCCGAGCGGGGTGTTCACTGGCTGCAGACATCGATGCTGCTACTTGGGAGGTGGCACTTCTTTGCTTGCTGAGTCTGAACCTGCAACTTAGTCTAAAGCAGTACAACATTTTGTAAAGCTAAATTGTGATCTTTTGCTTTTTGGATTCATAGGTCTTTTTGCAGACATTTGGAGACTATCTAGATAATGGTTCAAAAAGGAAAGCATTATCTAAACTTTTTTCCTGTCACTTCATACCTGCTATTTTGTCCGTAGGACCATTCTGAGTAATGAAAGAAAACATAAGGTGAATTTTTTTTTACCTGATTGATATAAAGAGTCTACTCTGGGGGCACCTGGGTGGCTCAGTCAGTTAAGCATCTGACTCTTGATATTGGCTCAGGCCATGATCTCACAGACTGTGAGATTAAGCCCTGTGTCAGGCTCTTTGCTGACAGAGCAGAGCTTTGGGGGGATTTTCTCTCTCCCCCTCTCTCTGACCCTCCCCTGCTTGCTCTCTCCCTCAAAATAAATAAATAAACATTAAAAAGAAAAGAATCTACTCTGTGTCTCACATATAAAGTATATGTAAAACTGACTAAGCTTCTGCTTAAGAATACTATGTCAGGAGGCATCTGGGTATCTCAGTCAGTTAAGCGTCCAAATCTTGATTTCGGCCCAGGTCCTGGTGTCATGGTTTGTAAGATGGAGCCCCACGTCGGGCTCTGCCCTGACAGCATAGAGCCTGCTTGGGATTCTCTCCTTCTCTCTCTGCCCCACCCCCTGCCCACCCCGCTTGCATGCACGCATGTGTTCTCTCCCTCAAAATAAATAAACTTTAAAAAAAAGAATACTGTATTAGGTATGTGAGGCACTATGTCCTCTCCTGTGATGGGCATTTTTTTTTCTTTGTCACATTTGATGTGTTAGATTGAAATAATCTGAGGTTTTGGTTATATGAAATGATTAATATCAATCCACAATAATATCACTGATAATTACAAAACTTGGCTGATGGCCTCAGAAGTCAGAACGAACAGTTTAATTTTCATGCTGGAGGTAAAACATTTGAAACTGTGTTGTTTTCCATTTTTGTGAAATATACACTCAGGAGAGCTTTGTGTAATGATGGATCCGAGGGAAGCTGGTACTTTGTTGGCGGCGTGCATTTTCTTTATCATCCTACATTCCTTTTTTTCCCTTCTTATCACAGATCATGACTAAAAAATAATACATAACAAAACAAAACAAACAGATGGTGACAAGTGAGCAGGGCAATGAAAACTCCAGCTCCTAATTAAATGGGAATTTCTGAATATTTGGTTCCCAGGTTTTCTCCTTGGAACCTTTTTTTTTATTATTATTATTTTTTCTCAGATACTTGTTCTTAATGTGAGCCAGTTACCATTTTTGTAATTGATCCTAAGATTTTTCACTATTAATGGCAGAAAAACAGGGTGTTATTTCAAGCCAGACCTCCAAAGGAAAAGGAATGGGAATGTGCGCATTTTAACACACTGTCAATAGAAATGTGCAGTGGTACGATCTTTCCAGAAAGCAGGTTGGTAGTGCATATCAAGACATAACACGTGTATGTCATGCCCTCTAAGTGAGCAAAGATGTATGTTTGTGGCATTGTTTATAATAGGAAAATCTGGGAACAATGTGGTTGAATAAATTATAGTAGTGATGTTTAGTGTTTACATGTAAGAAGAAGAGCTCCCAAACGAGACTAGAAGTTTATTATCCAATGAAATATTAGACACTAAAAATGCTGGCTTGCTCTCTATTGCTGTGGGATAGAGGGTTCCAATTGTTTTAATTGCTTGTAAAATAACATTTCTTATGTACTCTAATTTGAGTGCTTTATTCAGTACTTTGTTTAGCACTTCATTTTGTGTTTCTTTGGGAAGGGCTAGTTTTTTTTTCAGGGAATGTATAATTGAATTAATCAATTTCATTTGTTTAAACATGCACACAAAACTTGGCCTGTGTGTGTGTGTGTCTGTGTGTGTATAAAACTTTAGAGAGAGATAAATCTGTTTACTGTAGAACCAAAATATTACCCGTGATTATCTGGAAAGTGAGAGTTATCTATCCCCTCCTACTTTATGGAGTCAAGGGAAGAAAAAATATTATAGGGAAGGTAGTTTGAAAACTAAAGCATCACACAAAGATATTATTACCAATTATTAATACTATATACAAACTATATTAACTTTTGAATAACCTGAACATACCATTTCTCACCCATTTTTCACCTACAGAAGGTTAGTGAATCTGGAATTTTTATTTGGCTCGGCAATGAAGTGGGACAATACAGGTGACAATATATTGAAAAATTGAGGCATAAAGAGAGGAAGCAATTTATGAAGCAAGCTAGTAACAGAAATAGAATGAATGGTTGAGTCCATATTGCCAGTGCTTTCTCTGTCTCTCTTTATATAAAACTATATTGTAATCATCACTCAGGTTGAGTATTTCAGCTCATCTACACTGAACATTTACTGTTTTAAAAGGATTTCTTGGGGCGCCTGGGTGGCTTATTGGTTAAGCGTTGACTGGCTCAGGTCATGATCCCAGTTTGTGAGTTCAATCCCTGCATTGGGCTCTGTGCTGACAGCTCAGAGCCTGGAGCCTGCTTCAGATACAGTGTCTTCCTCTCTGTCTGCCCCTCCCCCACTCACGGTCTGTCACTCTCTGTCTCTCAAAAATGAATAAACATTCAAAACAAAATTTAAAAAAAAATTAAAGAAGAGGGTTGCCTCAATGGCTCAGTCAGTTAAGTGTCCAACTTCAGCTCAGGTCATGATCTCAGGGTTCGTGAGTTTGAGCCCCGCATCGGGCTCTGTCCTGACAATGCAGAGCCCGCTTGGGATTCTCTCTCACTGTCTCTCTGCCCCTGTCCTAGTCTCTCTCTCTCTCTCTGTCTCTCTCTCTCTCTCAAAATAAATAAATAAAATTTTTTAAATAAAAAAATAAAGAAGAGTTAATACCTAAGAGTTAATACCTATTCTTCTCAAACTATTGCAAAAAAAGAGAAGGAAGTGAAATTTTCAAATTAAT